GTCACTTACTAGTTTCTTATCAAGCATCTATCTTCCCCTTTTGTCTTCATCTTCCTAACAATATTCTTAATATCTGAGTATCACCATTTTGTCCCTGTAATGCTTGTGTTTTGAGGAAAGTGGGCCACACCATGGAGGCAGGTCATGATGGACAGGAATAGCATATACTGTTTTCCCCAGAAGCAATACAGCAACACCTTCCTCTTTCTCACATAACATCTATTGTGATAAAACTGCTGTTAGAAATACAGTGCTGTCCCCTGAAGTAATCATTTGTTTGTACACCAAGCTCTACTTCTTCAAGACACAGTGAAGGGAGGAGGAAGGCTTTGCACAGGTCAAGGTTCATATACTTTAGTTCTGTATCCATTCAGCTATTAATGATCCTTTTTCTGTTTGTGTGGAGAAATTAATCATATAAAGTCAAAAATTGGGTTTCTAAAATAAAATTCAATGATTTCACTATCCTTGGGCTGGGATGTGGCTCAAGCAGTAACGCGCTCGCCTGGCATGCGTGGGGTGCTGGGTTCGATCCTCAGCACCACATAAAATAAAGATGTTGTGTCCACCGAAAACTGAAAAATATATATTAAAAAACTCTCTCTCTCCTCTCTCTCTTTAAAAAAATAAAAAAGTAACATGTACAATTGCATTGCAATACAATAGAAGCCTGTAGGAGGGATGAGTGAAATAGTGGCTCAGTTTTCCTTCTGTAAATCAAGAGGGGTGGTCTATTTAATTTGTAGCCTCTATTGGCAATTAGGATCTAGATATTCTAATTTAGGGCTCAGATAATCTGACCCTGCCATTTAGAAGAGTCAGCATCCATGATGGTTAATAGTAATTCTTCTATTTTAGCTTATTATGTATCAAAAAGAAAAATAAAATACTATTAAACTTAAGCTCTTAATGAATAAAAATCAAAAATTTTACATCTATGCTTCATATAGAATTACCTAATATTTTTATGTTTGAAGTAGAATTTTTTAAATACTGTACGTACATGTTGCTCTTTCTTACATTCATACTTGCCTTGGCAATTTTACAACTGTATGAATCTTTAAATATTCTTTAATAAATACAAAAGAATAAAAATGCTTATGAACAAATACATTCTCTCTCATAATTCATCCAGATTCTTTAGCTCATTAATTTCTACATAGAGTTTTAAAGAGCTGAGTCTGACATTACACAATAGTACATCACTGCCCTCTGATGGTACGACTAATATATAATTTTAAATTCAGCAAAGAAAGCCTTTATTATAATGTAAAATGATCTGTAAATTTTATAAGCTATAGAAATATAAAATAAATAGAGATTCAACATTTACCTATAAATATTCATTACTAAGTTATAAAAATGTATAGCATTCTTCACATAAGCCCTTCAAACGAATTCTCAAGATGTTCCCTGATGATCATTTTAAAGGCACTAAGTCCACAAGTTTGAGCAAAAGATTTCAAATGTAGTAAAATAAAAACAGATATAAGGTCATGCAGCACAACTATAAGCAGGTAGGTCATTTTATAAAGGAAGGAACTATAATTGCAAGTTTTAATATTAGAGGTATATGCAGGAGTTTTACATGTAACGTATATATGCTATTTAAATCTGTACACATATTTTTGTGATTCTGGAAATTGAACTCTGTGCCTCACACAGGTAGGCAAGTACTCTTTCCCCTGTGCTACACCCCAGCCTTAGATCCATATTTTAACTATGAAAAAATAAATCACTTCTATAGAAGAGCAAACATAGGAAAATAAGAATTTAATGAAAGGTCTCACTAATTCCTAAGCTTGAAAATCAAGTTTTTCCAATACCTTTAGGACGGACTTAGCACTGCACTTGAGTGCACTAATATTACAAAGTTTGACTCTTCTTGTATTCAAAGAGAAGAAATTAAATTAAGGAATTCCATTTGATTGCAGATGTTGAACAACTACTGGTAGTAGACTCTCCCATTCATGTCATGCTTTATGAAACTGTCCACTAGAAAAGACAAAAATAGAGAAAAGTAATTTTTTACTTAAAACCAGGTCACAAAATTTTAATTAAAATATGTAAAAATAATAATATGGGACATAGAAATGCAAAATGATTTTTGAAATTCTTTTTAATTATTTTATTTATTTATTTTTATGTGGTACTAAGGATTGAACCCAGTGTCTCACACATGCTAGGCAAGTGCTCTACTACTGAGCTGCAACATGATTTTTATGATTAACAACTAATAATTAAACTTTGCATATGGTCAAAAGTCTGAGATAACATGATGGTTTAAAAGCATAAAAAGACAAAATATCTAAGCAAATCAATGGGTACCTGCAGTACAATTACCAAGAGATTTGAGGATTAAGATAGAAACTCTCTCTACCTTGTATTTTCTCTTCTTTTATCCCTGAGCTTCCAAAATAATTTTTTGAATGCCATGCTCTGGATGTGCTGTAGGAACATGCCCATTAAAGCCAGTGTGTTAGGGGCAGAAATGATTATCCGGAGGGAAAAGAACCCAAAGTAGGCAGCAAGAGTGGTTTCTGAGAGTAAGTCACTCTTTTTGAGAAAAATATCTCTGCCACTGTCTAGCTTGATGGCCCCAAGAATCATTTTTATTCAGTAAGAAAGATTTCTTATAAGAGCAGCAATGAACTTCTATATTTCCCCTCCCTACTTTTCCTTGTTATGGGTTAGCATCAGAGAGAACATTCAACCTTTGGTTTTTGGGGACTGGCTTATTTCATTTAGCATGATATTCTCCAGTTCCATCCATCTACTGGCAAATGCCATAATTTCACTCTTTATAGATGAGTAATATTCTATCGTTTTAGTTATTCAGAATTTACTGGAATGTTTAAAAATAAATAGATAATTATTAAAATTCTTCCCTTTAAAACAATGTTCAAGACCCTATGGTGATGAAGTAATCACAATAGAAACTTGGGTCAAAGGTCACCTGAATGGAAATCTGCCTCTAGAATTGAAGGACTTGGTCTAATCCAGTTCTGCAAAGATGTGAGTGATGCAGAGACTGTACCAGCTTTGGGAACTTTCTCTGTTGACAGAATGTGGCTAATAATTTTTACCTAGAGCTCCTATAAAAGATGCCAGATTGAATTCTAAGATAATATTTTGCTGATTTTTATCCCAAGGAAACATCACCGTGGCAACTTGCATTGTAATAGATGAACAGTAGTAGGTTAAATTGAATACTTTTAAAGCAAATTCTTCTTGGTCCTGTAGAAGAGCCAAACATTTATTTACCTGTTCCTGAAATTACACATGCTTACTAAATAGGATGGATAAAGAGGCTAGAGACTTTGCTATAGTGTCATTTTGAAAAATCACTAATAAATACTTTTTGCATTGTGTTAAAAAAAAGCAGCACACACACACACACACACACACAAAACAAAGAACACTAAATTTAAAACTGGAGATGTTTTCTACTTAAAACACTTTGAAGGGGACCAACAGTAATCTAATATAATCTATATACTTCAGAGTATGAAATTTTGGGTTTAATTAAATAAGTCCCTTTCTTTCTTACAGTTTAAAAAGCAGATGTTAAATTTACTAGGTTAGAACATGTAAAATAAGGATCTTCTTAATTCAGACTATATGTAGATTAAAGTATCCTTTTCTTATAACAGTCTATGTGAATTTAACTAAGTATCTCTACTTCAATGGAACAGAGGATCTCAACATTATTTCCAGTTCTAAAATTTACCATTCATATTTTTATTTGTTTTTGATAACCTTACATTGAATTACACCTAGTAATATAGCTCTTTATCTCAACAGAATATTGAAATTGATTCTAATGAAGTTTTGACCTTGTCATCTCCCAACTCTGCACTAGATTTATTTTGCTTTTATAAAGATATAAAAATAACAGCGCAATGATCACGTTATATATCTTAACATTAAAATCAATTTTTATACATTGTTAAAAATTCATGATAAAGAAAGAAAAAAAATGTAATTTCATTAATTGAAACTAAATGGAGTAACTTACAATGCTAAAATAACAAAGATATAACTCTTATTTCTACATGATATTCCTGAGCTACAATCAATTCTGCCCTAACGATGCCCCCCTCAAGTACATGTCCCTCAATTTAGGGGTATACAGTTATGTAGAGTGGAGGGAGGTGGTGTCTAGGAAGAGTGTAGTTTTAGAGCAAAACCAAAATTGAATTGCAAAGAAAATGAAAAGACCTAAAAACCACTCATAAATCACTGATAAATTAAATATAAATGAAATTGAGGATATTGTCCCTTTTACAAATAAACTTATTTTAGAAAAGTACTTCTTTAAAAGCAAACCAAGAATAAATCTTAATATATGAATCATTATCCTGAGTTATAACATATAAGATAAAACTTTTCCAATGCTTCTACACAGTAAAGACTCCAGAATTCAGGAAGCTTGAATAATTTCTCCACAGTTATATACCCTGTATCTATCTCCCTTTGCAAAAGGTACATTAGGAGGAATGTGTGCAGAGCTCACACCTGTACACCCTGTGGTCAGAATTAACACTTACATAACTATGACAATGAGTGGCAATGGGAAGATCAACAATCCCAAATCATAGAGTAAAAAAATTTAGACTACAAAACAGAATTTAATGATTGATGTGTAAATGGAGATTACAAATACTGTCTGTCAAAATGGCAGTGAATTTGGATTTTTACATTGTTCTTCATACTTTTCTATGTTGCCTGAATTTTTGACACATTTAAGTTTATAGTAAGTAAATGTATTAAAATATAGTAATATGAAAAGTGTACTATTTTCTCTTTAGAACAAAAAAACAGTAATCTATCCTAATGAATGTTAAAATAAATTGACATTTCTTTCAACACATACCTACTTTTAAATTACTTCAATTTTTTCTCATAATGCATTTTCAGAGGAAATTATTGAATAGATTGCTACTTAAGTTTTGTAAAATACCAGTTAAATTAAGTCTTAAGTAAACTTTAATACTTACTCTAAGTCCTCCTGCTGGTGGGGGCCCAGATGTGGCGATTTGTTTTTCTATTTTTTCCTTTTTCTTTCTCTTTTCTTCCACAGACTGGACATCCAAAATTCCCCGAGATGCAGCCTGTAAGTAATTTAAAAAGAGGTATAAAAAAATGTTGGTATCTGCTGTCTAAAAGGTGTGTGTGTGTGTGTGTGTGTGTGTGTGTGTGTGTGTGTGTTTGTTTTTAGGTTTTTCTTTGGGGCTAGAAAGTTGGTTTATTTTGGTAACAAAGAACATTTGTACAACAGCCTTATGTAAAATGCACTGCTATTTCTTCATTGAATATTTTGCAACCATACACAATTTTCCCCTAAACTTGCTTCATATTTGTTACTGTTTTATAAAACATGGCTATTTTGTCCCAAGGAGGAATATTATTATAAGAGCATCTAAACTTGCAGAAAACATCTGTAGGCTAATCCTCATATATTAAATGATGTAAACATATCAATGTAACTGAGAAATAAAGAAATCATATTTTAAGTGATTATCTTTAGACTCATATTTTTAGGATATTGGACACCACTTATATTACAGAATACTACCACTAATAATAAACATCTATAAAAAGTGAAATACAAAATTATGTAAGTAGGCATAATTTTAGTTTTAATTTTACCTCCTTTTGTCTTCTCTCTGCAGCCTCTGCAAGCTTTGCTCTTTTCTCTGCCTAAAGAAAATATGTAAAAATTAAAAAAAAAAACTCAAAACCAAACATTATTACATACAAATTTTATGACTATGTTATAAGTAGTATAATTACAAAAACATTCAGTACTGACCCGAAACATTTCACAATTAGTGCTATTTTTCAAACTAGGAATGGTTTGTATCTGTAGCCCTAGCTACTTAGGAGGCTGAGACAGGAGGATTCCTTGAATTCAGGAGTTTAGGACAAGCTTGGGAAACATAGGGAGACCTTGTCCCTCCCAGCCAAAACAAAACAACAAAAATACCAATATTAGAAAATTTATAAAATATTCAACTTTCTGAATTTCATATTCCAAATCAAAACACCTTCAAATTAGGGCATGATAAAATAAGCAGTATGTACTATATAATAATGTTATTTTCTTTTTGAAAAAAGGGCTTGTAAACAGGGCAATAATAAAACAAGTAGTATTAAAATTACAAGGAGGCAGATACACAGTTTTGAGCTGCCAGTTAAAAAGGGAGAATGGAATAGGCAGGTGTTTTCAGGAAAGATTCCTGAATGAAATAGACTAATACTGTGTTGGATAAGAACAAGAAGTAAATTTATGAGTGATAATGTTCCAAGCTGGAAAACAGTGAATATTATTTTTTCTATACCATGTATTATTTAGTTGTAAAATATTTAAATATATAAGTCAATAAATAGCATTCTCTTGGGGAATGGTATTAATAATTTGTCTTCCATGCCATGATGTATTTATTCATCCATTGGACAAATCATTGAGTACCACCATTGCCTTATGAACCTTTCTAGGTGCTGGGAATACAGCAGTGAAAACACAGATGAACATAAATTGCAATGAGGGCACAGAAAGGAATGTAATCAAGTAAATAAATGTCAGAGTTCAGTGCATGTTTGGGGAAAACATCAATGGCATTGTGAATAAATGAGGAAAGGAGGTGCAGGCGGTATGGTGGGGAATACATTTACTTATCTCAGGAAAAACTTCACCTATATAGTGACAGCCAACAGTGAGTGGTTATCAAGGGAAGAGGGTACAACCCAGGGATGGGGGTGGGTGGGTGCAGGGCTTAACAAATGCTGACAGAGTGGCATTTTTATCAAGAGCAAGATAAACAAAATTAACCTCATTTAAAAGCAAAAGCAGCAACTAAGACAAGTTGATATTTCATACATCACATGATCTTTCAGTACCTATAACCTAATGGATGAACAACTAAAATATTTCATTTTTTCAACTCATTTTTAGCTACACCGAAGGAATGAGAGGAATTTAGGAGTTTTTTGTTGTTGTTGTTGCTTTTGTTGTTGTTGTTGTTTTGTTATTAATTCCCTATAAGAAAGACTAATGTAAATATACTGTTAACAATAAAAAGCTACAAGTACAAATGTATTCTACTACATATTCCCTCCTGAAATTTGAATTTTAGATAAACGACAACTATTTTTATATAGATATATACCAAATATTGCATGGAATAAATCTATATTAAAATGTATTCTTTGTTTATCTTAAATTCAGATTACCTGGGCGTCCAGTATTTTTGTTAAATATGGCACTCTTACACATTGTACACGCTATTCTACACACAATATTTTTAAAAGGAAGATTTTTTTTTCAAATGAAATAAACACTAAAAGGAAATCATTGATGAATAAAATCTCCAAAAAAGAGCACCTTCTTTAAAGAGATCGTATAGACGCATGAAAAGACACATCTCTTAGTACAGTGAGGCACTTCACGGAGGTAATTTTCTTTTTGCACCCTAACTTCATCCACTGCACCTCCAAGACCAGTCCATACACAGCACCTCCTGTGTATGTATGCCACTGTCCAACAAACTCAATTTTGCCAGTCGGCCAAAGGCAAAAACTGGAGAGGGCAACAAGGAGGTGGAAGCCTTGACCTCCCCGGTAAGGTCCCAAGGGTCCTTGGTAGAGGTTCACGCTTCCCTGTCACCCAGGTCCCCAGCGACCAGCTCCCAGCCAGTAAGTACAACCGCCTCCGGGCTGCACGTAGCTCAGGCCGCCTGCGCGCCCCAGAAAACAGGTGCGCGAGGCGCAGCGCTACTCACCGGGTCGGGCGTGGGAGGAGCGGAGTCCCCCGGGCACGGAAAACACAGCCCCATCCAGACACCTAGGGGGTCCGAGACCCCGCCCGCCCCAGAACAGGCGGCGCTAAATGCGCGATCCGACACCGGTCCCAGGCCTTCCGCGCTTGCCCCGCCCCCACCCTGGCCCCAGTGGCTTCTCTCGGCTCCACCCCCTGCGGCAACGCCCCACCCCCACCCCACGGCTCCTCCAGTCCAGTCCCTCCGCCCCCGCTCGGCCACGCCTATCCGCGGCAACGCCCCCACTATCTCCTTACCTGGTCCCGCCCCTGCGGCTCGGCTCCGCCCCTAGAGGCCAAGACCAGTAGCGGGTGCGTGCAGCTCGGACGTTGGAAAGCAGGGCCTGCAAACAAAACCTAGGTACAAGGAAACACCCGCTGTCCGCGGAGAAGTGCTCGGCTGTGGATTTCAAAGCTCTTCCTGCTTCTCTTGCCTCTCTGTTTATACCTCTGGAGGGTTTTTACTGTTCTATGAGATGCGACTCTGGCCTCCAAGAAATTAAAACCAAAAATTGAAAGACGAGGATAGCACACTTAGCTGGCTTTAATAGAAATTTCCACTAGTTCCTGATATTTGGGATTCATTTATCTTTCCAGGAGCAATGATAAAATTTCATCTATTAAGAAATATTTTAATGAAGTGCTTCTTAAATTTTAATAAGCATAAGAATAACCAGGGCATCTTATTAAAATGTAGATGCTGAATTAGAAAAGTTAGGATGAAAGTTTAGATTCATTTCAAGTACCTTAACAGACGACTGATCACATCTTCACAACAATGCTTTCATTTATTATTTTTTTTCTAGCATTCCTGCTCATTGGAAAAATTTCAAACTTTTCAAAAAGAGGATATAAAGTGACAGTTAACATCTCAGAAACCACTGTTCACATTTTAATCTATATTCTTACAGGTTCATTTAATATAGATGAATAATTTACTTATAATGTGCACTTATTTTGATTGGGTTTTAATAAGCAAATGCAGCCATGAAATCACTTATTCGAGATGTGAAAGATTTCTATATGCCTCAGAAGTTGTATTGTACCCATTCATTCCCGACCACCCTTATATATCACATAGTTAGATCTAAGCAACAGATAATTTCATATTTCTATGGTATTTAAGAAGTTTCAAATATATGGGATATAAATATGTTAGTTTTGCATGTCACAATGTCTTTGAAATTCCCTCACGTCCATAAATGAAACAGTACCCCCTTCTTTTATTCTGTTACATGAAATTTTGTAAGATTAAAAGCAAATCTATAAAGAAAAAAGTGCATTACCTCTATTGCAAAATGTAAACTACCCATCTCTTACTCTTTATAACTACTCTTTAGAACTTTGTTTAGAAATCTTGAAATTCTAACTGCTGCCACTGTCTCACTGAGATATATGTACAACTTTTTCAAAAAGGAAAGTAAGTCTTTTCCCAGTTTTGTATCCCAGAAGTATATTTGTATACTTAGTAACTTTCTCTTAGTAAATATCTAGAAGGGTGACACCTGTGGTCCTATCTTCATGGTACTTTAATGTATAGGAGGCATTTGGCTATAAGATACAGCTCTTTGCTCATTAAAAGATGTGTTATTCTTTCCTTAGATAAGAACAATCAACATATGGAATGTATCTGCTGGGATATATGCTGTGGTAAGATCCCCGCCCAACCACCACCACCACTGACATCTCTTTAGCAGAGTGCCTGTGATACATAAGGTTAATGTTTATTCAGTGATAAAAGTTTTTTTGTTCTTTTTTTTTCTTTCTTTTTCTGCCTTTGTGGAGAGATTTTCTGCATAGAAAGGAAATTTTGTTTTTAATTATTATTAAAAAATGCTTTCTACATATTGCATATTTTCCAAGCACTTTCCATTATTTCTCCACAGATTTGCCTATTGATGTGCGTGTACAGGTTGATTTCAGTTTTTGGCTATTAGGAATAAACATTTTTGTAAAATTATTTATACATATGTTTTAATTTCCATGAGAAAAAATATAAAGATAGAATTGTTAGGTTAAATGATAACATTAGTTTAAATTACTAAAATTCCAAGTAGGAATGTATTATGTATTGTGTGTGTGTGTGTGTGTGTGTTTGTATTGTATGGTACATTTAAAACCTTATCACATATTATTGCCATTCTTGGTATTTTCAATTCTTCAGTTTTAACAATGAGTTTATATTTCATTTTCTTGTACCATTTACATGAGAAATTTGCAGTTGTAATTTCTTTCCCTTCCTCTCCAAGATGTAAATTTTATCCTAGTCTTTTATCACTTCTACAAGCCAAAACTATCTTTCTCAAGGACCTGAGTGTTCTCTCTCTGAAATACAATATTCAAGAAAGATAGTACTCCTAACTCCTGGTCTCTACGGAAAGGTAGGATTTCCATCAGTACCAATAATGCAAACAGATGGTCCAAGTCGACCAACCTTTCAATGTTTTCCAGTCCTTTCCCTCTAAGACAGTTCAGTGCTTAACATCTCCCTTTCCTTTACTTTCAGGGGAATTGCCTTCTCTTTTCCTTTAATAAAATCTTCAGTGAGGACCTCCTTACCTATTTAACTCTTATCTGGTGAAAACTTTCTTTGACCTTGTTTTTTTTTGTTTGTTTCTTTTTATTGAAAAAAATGCAAATGGTTACATAAAGAATTGAGTGAAAACAAAAATACAAAAAATGCATTTCTCTTTTTGACCCAAGTCGCAAATTTCTAACCTCCTTCTGAAAAGCTGCCAATGGCATTCAGTTTCAGTGTATAATTCAGGATACATTTAATTCACATACAAACACCGATAGTTGTACACACACACACACACATTTAAACTGAAATGGCAGAATTGTTTTTCAAAGTTGTCTTACATTCATAATAATGTATTAAAGAACACCTGTTGTGGGAGACTTGTGGAGGAGGTGCATAAAGAACAGACACACATATAGGGCAGGTGCAGACAGACAGAAGGATGGCAGAAAAAAGGACGCCTACCCCTCTCTGCTGTCATCTTTAATAACTCAAAATATTACATATTACCCACCACCAGTGACTATATTTTGATCAGTATTCCTTTAACACTGAGTGCTAGCTAACTGAGATAAGGTCCAGGTTAATGCAAACACAGAGCTTCTCTCCTTCAAATGATGTCACTATGTAAACCAGGTAGTGCATCCCCATAGTTATCTTAATAGTCTCATCAGGGAATAGCTAGGCATTCCAATCCTGGGAATCAGGGCACCAGTTACCCCCGGGAGTTTACTCATTGAGGAATGCTTTCCTGATATTTCCACAGTCAGAATACCTACAGCCCCCCCCCCCCCTTTTTAGGGCCTTCTGGATAAGTAATATCTGTTTTCTCCTTAATTCTGGTGGGGGCAAAAATAGGGCAGACATTGACAGCAGCAAACGCAACATAACAATCCCCAAAGCAGTAAACATCCACCTATGAATAATTGTTTGACCCAGGTGAAATTGGGTAACCACGAAGTTAGCCAATCCAACAGGTCTAAACCTCCATCATCTTGTTGGACCTTGTTAATGGTATCTTTAAGGTAATTTAACCCCCTTGAAATAGAATTACTGTTATCACTCAAATTGAAGCAACAAATATTATTAAACTCCTGACATCCTTTATGATGTAACAACAACAAATAATCAATAGCAACCCAATTATCAAGAATGGCTTTACAGTGTTGTTTTTGTTCCTTGTTAAGCATATTAATGGCCATAGAGTTATGATTAATACTAGACCATAGCACAGGCCAGCTTCATAGTGGCTTTGTAAGCCCCAACAACTAGTCTAGGGATACCCACTAAGGAAAATGTCAAAGCGTCAAATTCTGTCTTAGAGAAGATATACTGAGTCATTACAGTATATCATCAACGGGAATAGACCTCCATGAATACATTGTGCAGGATGGTGGCCCATTAAACCCTTCGAGGATGGTAAGAACACAGTTAATCTGTTAAGACAACAGTGGGTACCATGCAACATTTTTGCAGGTATATAATAATTTCAGCCAAGTGAACCCAGATATTATAATGGGTTCTAGAAGTCCAGGAGTCTGACTGAACTAAATTTCCCACAACTGGGGTACAACAGCAGAATAACATTACCATAAGAATCAAAACATTTATAGAGTTTTATGTGAGTTTAGCAAACAAAGCAGAAAGTAAGTTTTCAAGAGTACATTTTAACCGCATTTGAGTCAACAGATGTTGAGCTGAGGCTGTTAATGATTTTCTGTCCCCCCAAGTCACTGGAAGCCTAGAAGCTTGGGATCCTCTTTCAGTGTTTCTTATTTTTCCTTCTTTAATGTTTTCTCTCTTTCGAGGAGAGTGGTCATTGTCCTCTTGATTGGTGGGACTCTCCTCATCCAGGATCAAACAAAACTTGGGAATTGGGTTGAGAAGCTCCTGATGTCCATTCATAATTGTAATGATCTCATGCATCAACGTGGAGTCCAAACAGGACCTGTGGGTATAAGTGTAGCAGTCTATCCTTTTTCCCAAGTTATCAGAGGCATAGGGTCTTGTCATCCTGGGTCTGAAACACTATGTTTTACATAAATATTTAGTAATAGCTGTTTGGGAATAAAACTTCTATCCAAAATAGACAACTAATTGTGAATATTAACTTTGCATTGCATATTGAGCACATTAACTTTAAATAAAACAATATTTAAAGCAATATTAATATGAGAGGCTAGATTCCCACTTTTTAGTTTTAGTTTTAAAAGGCAAGTTTTAAGAGTATAATGCACTCATTTAATCAAAGTTTGTCCAATAGGATTATAAAGAATTTTATACTTTAAAATTATATTTCATTGATTACAAAATTGTGCAAAGGCACGAGATGTATATGCAGGGGCATTATTCCTCTTTAAATGAATAGGCTTGCCCAATGTGGCAAAACAAAGCAATAAATGAGAAATGCAAGCAGATACCTTTTTTAGACCTGTGGGCATTAGCTTAAACAAACCCAAAATGGGTATTAATAAAAAACATAAAGAAAGGAGTGAGAATGAAAAGGGAGGGAAATGGGTAACATCTATTTACCAAAGTGCATTGGAATGTAGGCCCCATAGATTTATAAATTTCAACATAGGAGCCTGAAAG